ATCTCACTGTCCACAGTGTTTCACTTGCTTACGTTACTCATCAGACTTAGAAGTCCAGTATACTAATTGACCTACCTGACCTGTTTGTATGACCTCTTCTGTACGAATTCAATTTTTGTGTATCCTCTCATTCGTTACTCACTTTATGCAGCAAGAGGACGCAGCTGATGAGCACTCACGAAATTTATGGTTCCAATGAATTCTGCTGCATACGCAATCTTCAAATTTGCACCTGGGAAAACGTGCTTCAACTTACTAAACTTTAACCCATTTGACCTGGAAATTGGTACAATGACAACTTTGTTGCAGTTGTTTCTTGTTCTCATATTAGGGGTCATATAATCCATTCTTACCAATTTTTGTCTTAAAACAACCAGCAAACTCCAACTTGTTTGCGTTGGGAACATATGCGCCTGGCCGCCTCAAGTGTGGCTATTGGGACCCACCGCCGCGTGCATGTCTTAAGAGAAATGCAATCAACTATCTGTGGTTCGAAGTACTTGGGCCATCTTTTGGTTAAGTTTTAAAGTAACCAGCTCTCTAATAGACGCTATGTTAAACGTATATGTCCATGTTTGCTATTCGATGCGGCTTTCAGCCTATGTAAAAGAAAGTAAAAGAAGTGACCTTTTCTTCCAGAAACTAACCTGGCTGTCAAGCCCAAGTAGTAGAAGTATCAAGAAGAAGAGCACGGACCACAGGGGACTCAGAGGCATCGTTGAGAGCGCCTTGGGATAAGCAACGAAGGCTAGTCCGGGTCCCGCTTCGGCGACCCGAGCTATTGGGATTCCAGAGGTCTCAGACATGTAGCCCAACGTCGTAAAGATTATGCAGCCAGCGATGAAGCTGACACATGTGTTCAGGAAGGCAAATATTCCCGTATCCCTGAGGCGTAAACGGCGACATGCAAAGAGTGTTAACGACGTATAAAAAGGAAGTTTGGTCAACAACCATAGGACTGGTGTTTATTATTTTGAACTTTTGAGCTCTTGCAGGAGACTGTCTTTAGAGTATGTAGCAGCAACCGAAAAGGGCTACACTTATTGGAAGGCGAAGCAGACCGACGATCAGTGACTCAGTTCTAGAAGTGTCTGTTAAGGATCTTTTCAAAAGACTTTCTAGGAGAAATCCTTAGATCATTGCCGCTCCACTTTCGGCAAATCGCTTCGCCAAGAGCGCTTACCATCGCTCAGAAACGAAGATTTATGAAGCGGTTTATTCCTGTCCGGCTTCTGAGTGGAAACTTAATTTGTGAAGGCATTAGCCATTTATAAGCGAAATTTGTCATCCATGATAACAGACAAAGATGTCCGTCCCCTTTTTACTTTAAGGATTTTCCCCCCACTTTTACTTAGCTTTGAGTGTTTTAAGTTGCTAAGTTTATGAATTAGTCTACGCGGCAATATACTCTGAACTTGCTGTTTTTGCACTGATTTTGTTTTCTGTATGAATTCAAATTGTTTCATTTTCTCATTCATTACTGATATTATGCAAAGCCAGGATTTGGCCAGTGAACAGTCGCAAAGGTTTACGGATCAAACAAATTATGCATTAGGAAGAAGTTGATGTGGTCGCTGGGAGAATTAAATTTGCTTGGCGTTTCTGAATCCGTCGCGGATCCATCATCGGAGACAATAGCAGAAATGGGGAATTCATACACAGGGGTTGCAATACTTATAGGATACAGTCACTATGCTACTGCACACTTATGAAAATTAACGGCTTCCCGCTATCGAGGATAATTGCCGCGTGTGCGCTAATTGCTTGATGGCCGTGACCTGCTGAATTTTCATCACACGGGGTGGAATTGGGGGTGATGATTGCTAGGCCATCTGGCTCCCTGGCGCTGGCGTTACACGACGCGTTGACCTGTCCGTTCCCCAAGCGGCGACTTGCTTTGGCCAAATAGAATCCTAGCACCAAATGCGGATTGGGTAAGTCGTTGCCCTTTTTTATCGACTTTGGTTCCGTGAAACTCTCCGTGAACGAATTTGCCGCTTCTGCTATGGTCTTTGATGATGGATCCGCGACGGATTTCGAAACGTCAGCCGAAAAAAAGTCTTCTCTCAGCGGCCACATTTATTGCTTATCACTCACCTCCTGGAACTTGCATGTTCGCTTGCATTGGCAAATTCTGCAGTATTAGCATACTTTTGGTATTTGTTATTCTTGGACAATGGGATAACCTTAGACATACATTTTATATATTGGTTGGGAGTCGACTACGTTTAATTGCTAATTATAAAAAATGGCATTGGAAAACGCAATTGTTTTAGTTTTAGCACATACCGTGAACATGTCTGTGAATTCCATGAGTATAAGCTCCAAAGCAGAAGAAATTAACATCGAAAAGTTATGCGGTTCTGCTGGTGGGTACAAGTAAACTTTCCTTAATGTAACGATTTGTGTTACTGTTAAGAAGTTTTTTTTCGAAGCCAGAATTGTGATCAGTAAGTAGAGTACGTACAAGAGCGTTCATTTTTACTAATGCTCATAATGAGCGTTAATCCGTAAGTTAAATTATAGCGGGAAAATTCAAAGTTCCAATGGAAGAAATTCTCTTCATAAGAATAAAGCGAAATAGGAAATTTTTCGCTTTTAAGGGAGTGTCTGGAAGTTGCGCAATATTTATTAAACATTTGACCCTCTCCTAGCACTTAAATACTTGCAGATTCGACTTCTATGTCCTGATGGCCATCAACCCGTGGAATCGCTACCTCTAGCTGGACTGCAAACGTGGTCCTAAGAGGAGTTAAATTGTTTCTAGTGTTCCGGTCACCTTGAACTGCCTCAAATAATCCCAATCGTACAGGTTTTGACCTCCTATGATCTTCAAAGAAGTGCAAGCAATTTTTGAAATGCCTCGGAACAGGTAAAAGACTGTCAATGATTAGGTTTGAATATTTGATTCCAACTTAGCTAATACGGATGTATTACTTTTTCCCCCACCCTGTTCCTCTAAGTGCAAGCTCTAAAAAAGCCAATACGTTTGACTATGCAAACAACAGGAACAGCTTGTAGGAAGACCGGATGTTCAAGGCACTGGGTATCTGAAAGTGTGCAGATCCTCGCTTCAATATGCCACTTGAAGACCCTGTCCCTTGCAAGGCATTTTTGGAATTTCACTTAAAGATGGAAATCAAACAAAATTAGTGTTTTTCTTCGCGTGGCACTAAAGCATTTGCCCACTCGGTCGAGGCAAGAAAATGGACTGCGAAAATGAAGACCTGGCACGCCTCGTCAGTACAATTTACCTGAACGTTTACAAGGCAAACTCACCTGAATGAATTGTGATGAAAGTCGTTATAACTGCCGAGTGCCGTCAGGGTTCCCACGCTAATAGAATAGCTGAAAAATATTTGAGTTCCAGCGTCTGACCAAACCTTTGGAAGAGAAATGCAGAAGCATAAGAAGCCAACTGCTGTTAATGCACAAAAAGAAGTAGTTCTTATCAAAGACTATCTTCATAGTTAATAAATTTTAATGCAACCCATTTTTGATTGAAAAGATAAGGAGGGTTCGGTCTACACTGAGGGTCGGGACGTAAGGATTCGGATAAGTGTAGGTTAGGTGTGGACCATTTTTCCCTTTTCGATCCGTCCAGCAGGATGTCAAACGTCGAGAGAAAGTAGATGCCATCGCTGGAACAAAAACTTCATCACAATTCACGTTGAAATGCATTAACGGGGACAGCATCTGATGCGGGTAATTCGCAAACAGGGAGCTGCAGTATTACGGAGGCCATTTTCTATGCTATTGCATACCTTTGGCAATTGACGGCTCCCCCTTCATCAAGGATGCTTCCCCTGATGCGTTTATGGCTTGACGGCCTGCATTCGAGTACTTAAGCACTGAATATGCATAATCTGTGTTGGATGTTGGCATTACGCTGGCGTGGCCATCCGGCTCGCCGACATTGGCGTTAGAAACACTTGTTCGCCCACGCGCTCCGCGAGTGGCTAATTGCTTTGTCTAAACAAATTCTCAACACCGAATACGGGTTCGGACGGTTTGTGCACTTGTTAGTAAAACTGGGAGCCCGTGAAGCAGGACGCAAGCAGTTGGTGCCTCACGCGA